TGGCCTTGACCTCTGGGCCCTGGCAGATGTCGCGCTGCCTCATGGGCGCGTTGTCTGCGGGGCCCATGGGCCCGTCTGCCCGGGGGGCCAGCAGGAGACTGGGCCAGGCTGTGCGTGGGGGCAGCTGTGGGTCAGGGGACCAGGGGGTTGGGCACGGGGGACCCTGCCCAGCCATGGTGCCCCCCACCTGCCCCATGCCCTCCATGGGGGCCGGGGCAGGATGGCGCCGACTCCACTGTCCTGCACAGGAAGTCGTCCTCCAGGAATTGCTTCCTCCAGGAGACGTGGGCACGCACCGTGGCTGCTGGCTGGGGAGGCGGTGGGATGTCCTGGCTGGAGCCGAGGGGCTGGGGCTGCTCCCTGCTCCATGCCTCCCTCACCGGGACCCGCTCCTGGCCCGTCCCCTGCCCCTCCATGGGGGGCATTGGCCAGACCCGGGGGGCTCTGCAGACTCGCTCCCCGAGCTCTCCTGTCCTCTGGGCGCTGCGACTACGTCAGCGCTCACACCCAGCCTCGATGCTGCGCGAGCCTGCGCTGGGGCAGTGCATGCGGGGCAGGGCTCCGGGGCCCAGCTCTGCCGCCCGGTCCCCTCTGCAGAGCCGTTGCTGCCCCTGGGCTGGCTGCATGGGGGCACCAGGGCAGCCTGTGGTCGGCTGGCAGGGTTGGGGCAGAGGGTGAGAGCCAGAGCCTGTCCCCCTCGCCTGCAGCACGGAGGCAGGAGGCCACGGCAGTGCCCCTGGTGTGGCCTCGTCCTGCCCCCGTGCTCCCCCCCGCCACGGGGCTGGGCTACCTGGGGGCGGTGCAGAGCTGCTATAGACCTCGGCCCCCATGGCGCTGCAGGCGCCGCACCAGGGTCCATCTGGCCTGGCCTGAGCCCCCCCCAGTCAGCAGGACCTGCCCCCCTTGCTTGGGAGTCCCGGGCGCTGTGAATGGCCCTGTTGTCCTGCGAGGGGTGGGGCGGCAGGAAGCGTGGGGCTGAATGCGGGCAGTGTGCGCCAGGCAGCCGTGTGGGGGGCGCTTCCTGCCTCCGGGCTGGGGGGATAATTAAACCCTGCAAGTCAGTGCAGTCTGGCAGCCCCGACCAGGCAGTTCTCACGCCCGCCCGTGGCAGGGAGGGGGCGGCTGAACAGACCCCGTCCCTCTGCCCCGAGGCTTTTTCGCACTTTCTGGGTCCTGTCCAAGGGTCTCCCCTTCCTCAAGGTGCAGCCGGCTTGGGGGGGCAGGGGTTTGCCCCCTGCTCAGCCTGACCCAGCCTGGGGGGTTTCCCCTCCCTCTGCAGTGGGGTGACGGCTTTGGCCTGGGGTCTCCCCAGCGCCCACCACCCCCCGGCAGCAGCAGGATGTTGGCAGCCGCGACCCCCCTGTATCGCAGGGGCCGGGGCGATGCCGGGTTGTCGGGGGTGATGGTGTCGTGCAGCTCTGAGGTCACACTCTGGGCTTTGTGTGGGGGGGGCAGGGACTGGCCTGGATGTGACCCCGCAGCTCCCTGCCAGCCCCACGGCTCTATGACCACGTCTGACTGATGTGGTTGGGCTCGGGCTGGTGCCCGGTGCCCGGTGCCCTGTCCCTGGCCGCGCTGCTGGGACTGGCCCTGGCGCTGCCCCAGACCTGGGGCTCCATCTTTGCCCCCTCGGTGACAGGGGTGGCTCTTCCGCAGCTGTGCCATGGGGCTGGGGAGGGACGTTCTGCCCCCAGGACACTCGGCAGCTGGGGCTGGGGTGCACGTGCATCTGGCGCAGCCTGGGCAGGACACGTGCTGCCCCCAGCCGCGCCACTGCCTGCCCCCGCGCGGGGGGATTACGCCTGAGCCTCTTTGCAGCAGCCACGTGGCTGCTGGAGTCAGGAGCCAGCAAGGCAGGGGGAGGGGTGCTGGGCTCGCCTGGCTGGGGGGTCACCCCATCACGGGGTGGCTGCGGCCCCCTCATGTTCTCCTCTCTCCTGTCGGGGCCTTGGGGTGCCCTGGGACCCCATGGGGAGGGAAGCCAGCCGTGTCCTGAGGGGGAGGGGGCTGCCACGGGGGGGGAGGGTTCGGGCTGGTTTTGTTGGAGGCTGAGGCCAGGCCATGAGGTGGCACGTCCCCAGCCCGCGGCAGGGTCTCCGGGGTCCTCGGCCTCACCAGGCCGGGGCAGCAGATGGTATCACCTCTTCCTTGTGGGGCCCTGCGAGCTTCCTCCTGGCAGTGCCCTGCCCGGTGTGTATCCAGCGCCCCTCTCTCTCTGTCCTGCATGAATCCAGCACCTCCCGTGTGCGTCCGTCTGTCAGGGCGGGGATGGGGCAGGTCTGTCTATCTGTGGCAGGGCTGGGGGTAGTGCCTGCGCCCAGCCTGGTCCAGCTGACACCCTCCCCCTGTGCCCGCAGGACGCGGTACATCAGCACGGAGCTGGGCACGCGGCAGCGGCTGCTGGTGGGTGTGCTGACGTCGCGGGGCACGCTGAACACGCTGGCGGTGGCAGTGAACAGGACGCTGGGGCACCGGCTGGAGCGGCTGCTGTACTTCACGGGCACGCGGGGCCGCAAGGTGCCGCACGGCATGACCGTGGTGACCCACGGTGACGAGCGGCCCATCTGGAACATGTACCAGACTGTCCGGCACCTGCTGGACCACCACGTGGCCGAGTTCGACTGGTTCTTCCTGGTGCAGGACGACACATACACGGAGGCGCACCGTGTGGCACGCCTGGTCGCCCACCTCAGCATCGACACGCAGCTCTACCTGGGCCGGCCCGAGGAGTTCATTGGGGGCGACACTGAGGGGCGCTACTGCTACGGCGGCTTTGGCTACCTGCTGTCGCGCAGCCTGCTGCTGCGCCTGCAGCCGCACCTGGAGAACTGCCGCAACGACATCCTCAGCGCCCGCCCTGACGAGTGGCTGGGCCGCTGCATCATCGACTACACTGCTATCAACTGTGTGGATGAGCACGAGGTGAGCCGGCTCCCCACCCCGGGGTGACGCGTGGGGGATGAGGTGCCTCGGATGCAGCCGGCGGTGGGGGTGGGGTCTGGCGACTGTCCATGTTCCCCGTGGCATGGATGGGGAGACCGGTGCAGCCCCCATTATGTGCTCTCCATGCTGCTGGAGAGAACCCCCCTCTCTTGCACATTGCCCAACCCCTCTTCAGGGTCCCCAGGGGAGCACATGCCCTGTCCCCTTCCCGGCGGGGATAGAAGAGGCAGTACTGCGTCTTCCGTGTAACAGCCATGGGCGGGGGACAGCTGTGCTTTGGAGTGAAGCTGTGATGAGGGGTTGATTCGGGGTCAGCCGTGAGCCTGCCTCCCTGGCACAAGGCCTGGGGGATGGAGGGTGGCCGCGGTTCTGCAGCCAGTGCCACAGGCTCAGCAGTGACGCCATCTCCCCGAGCAGGGCCTGCGCTACCAGTACTTTGAGCTGGGGAAGAACACGGACCCGGAGCGGGAGACCGACCCTCGCTTCCACGGCGCCTTCACTGTGCACCCTGTGCTGGATCCTGTCCAGATGTACCGGCTGCACAAGCACTTCGCCCAGGTGGAGCTGGAGAGGACCTACCAGGAGATCCAGCAGCTGCAGGTGAGCCCAGCGGCGTGGGGGGAGCTGGGCCCAGGCAGGCCGCCCTGTCCCTGGCCTCTCCCTGCAGTGGTGGCTCTGCGCGGGATCAGGCGCAGTGGAGGTGGGGAGGTTTCCTGTCCTGATCTTTGAGCCTGTCTTGTCTCCCTGCACCCTCCTCCCTCCCGCCTGGCCCGTGCTGTCCTGCGGGGTTCAGCCATCTCCCCCCATGCAGAACCAGCCGGCGCTGGCCCACACCTGGGTCCCAGACATCGAGTCCTGCCTGGGGTCTGTCTCTGTGATGCACAAGCTTTCTGCGGCGGCCTTGGGGCCAGGCCAGACCTCTCTACGCACGGGCCCTGTGGGCTGGGCGCAGGCTTGGTGTTCAATGAATCTGGAGCCTCAGGGAGGTCGCAGGGATGGAGATGAGCCAGTGGCTCAAAAGGACGCGGCAGCTGTGATCTGGGAAATGTGCCTGGTGTGGTGCTCCGAGCCCTGACCCCAGCCAGGCCCAGGCATCGTGGTACCTCGTGGCCAGCTGCACTGGCGTGATGGGCCTGGCTGCATGGGTGGCTCGTGGGGCCAGCTGGCATCTGAGTGCCCCCAGTGCCAGGGTCTGCACCTCCCCAGCTCGGGCACCCTAGAGGACAGATGCTGACCCACTTCACCTGAGCACAGGCAGGGAGCAGAGCCTGGAGCAGGAGTGAGGTGAACTCGGGCTAAAAGTGTGGCCCAGTCTGTGATAGGCAGGGCCCGCGCTGGGCACCAGAGCAGCGCTGCAGGTCCTTTGGGCCGAGGTTGAGCTTGAGCAGGGTCGGGGCTCGGCCTGGCTGTTTGTAAACGGTTGTAGTTGTGCCTAGAGCCTGGGCTGGGGTCGGGCCCCAGGGCTGCTCCTGGCTTCAGGCTGGGTCCCTGCGCTAGCGTGGGGTGGGGAGGCAGGCTCAGGCCCTGGGCCACGCGCGTGGCATGCATGGCACTTTCCTTCGTGCTGGCATGGGCTGGTGCTGCCACCTCGTGGGCAAACAGTGCCAGCATCCTAGGGAGCAGCTCACCAGCGTGTCTGAGCTGACGCCGGTGTCCTGGCCATGGGCAGGGCTGGGACTTTGCAAAGGCAGGATGCAAGTGGTGGGTGCAGCGTTGCCTGGAGCAACCCGCAGCTTAAAAGAAACCAGCAGCTTTACTAGGTGCCAGGGTCACGCTCTGTTATCCTGTCTGAGAAAAGGACCTGGGGGGACAGCTGCAGCAAGAAAAGTTGAGGTTTGATATTAGGAAGAACTGTCTCTCTCACTAGGAGGGTAGGAGGGTAGTAAGGCACTGGAACCAGGTTACCCAGAGAGGTGGTGGAGTCTTGATCCTTGGAGGTGTTTACGACCCAGCTTGACCCTGGCTGGGGTGATGTAGTTGGGGCTGGTCCTGCTTGGAGCAGGGGGCTGGACTAGACGTGACCTCCCAAGGTCCCATCCTCGTCTTCTAGGATTCTAACATCAAAGCACAAACAAACACCTCTTTATTTGAATGTGCGTTAATTTGCTAAGTCATATTTTATTTATAAAAAACCACAAAGAACTAGGCAAAACATAATCAAAAGATGTTGTTTCATTAGCCCTATAGTCATTAGATGGAAGTGCTCTGTTTTCAGATTCATGAAGCAAGTTCTAGCTGCTTTGAACATCTTGATGGTGCACCCAGTGCTCGGCTGAATGTTACTTCCACCCCCGAGTTCAGGTTCACCTGAGTTCGTGTCCGCACCGGAGTTAATATTTTTAGCGAGCGTTAAGAACAGTCGGCAAGGCTGTGACACGGGAGCTACGTGACCGGGAGCAGACAGCAGAATTGCAGGAGGAAGGCTAGCTTGGTTAGCGGAACAACAGGACCATTAAAAAGGAGAGAGGGTCGTTAACATTTGTGCAATGAGGGGTTTAGAAGGAATCAGGTAGATTATAATGAGTCGTGAAGTCAGACGACTGCTGCCCGAATAGAAATGCTCTCACTGATGCTCAACTAGAAATGCCAAGGCCCCTGCCAGGCCCTTGGGTTCAAACTCTGGGTGGAGCTGCAATCGAAGGGGGTGCAAATGCACTGCGCCACCCCCCGATCTGCCCATGACCATGGGGTCTATGTGTGGGGCGCAGGTCCCAGGGGGGCGGGAGGAGGTTTCCGGGGTCATGCCTCTCCGTGCTGTGACGCTGCCCTTTCTCCTCTGGCAGCTGGAGATCCAGAACACCAGCAGCCTGTCCGCGGACGGAGACCACAGTGCCACGTGGCCCGTGGGCATCCCACCGCCGTTCCAGCCCAAGACGCGCTTTGAGGTGCTGCGCTGGGACTACTTCACAGAGGAGCAGGTGTACGCCTGTGTGGACGGCGCTCCCAAGTGTGAGCTGCATGGCGTGGACCTGGCAGACGTGGCTGACGTGGTGGCCACGGCCATGGAGGAGCTGAACCGCAAGTACCAGCCAGCGCTGCACCTCCGCAAGCAGCAGCTGGTGAACGGGTACCGGCGCTTTGACCCCACGCGGGGCATGGAGTACACGCTGGACCTGCAGCTGGAGGTGGTGACACAGAAGGGGCACAGCCGCTCGCTCACGCGGCGCGTGCACCTGGTGCGGCCCCTCAGCGAGGTGGAGATCATCCCCATGCCCTACGTGACGGAGGCCAGCCGCATCAACGTCATCCTGCCACTGACGGCCCATGACCGCGATCGCGCGGCCCACTTCCTGGAGGCCTATGCGGCGGCCGCCTTCGAGAGCGGCGAGAACGCAGTGCTCACCTTCCTCTTCATCTACGACCCCTTTGAGGCCCAGCAGGTGGCACAGAACGACGTCTTTGCCACGGTCAAGGCCAAGATCACCGAGTATGAGCGCAAGTACGCAGAGGTCAAGATCCCCTGGATCAGCGTAAAGACGGACGCGCCCTCCCCAATCAAGGTCATGGACATAATCTCCAAGAAGCACCCTGTGGACACGCTCTTCTTTGTGGCTGGTGTGGGCACCGAGGTCACCATCGACTTCCTCAATCGCTGCCGCATGAACACCATCAACAGCTGGCAGGTCTTCTTCCCCATCCACTTCCAGGGCTACCACCCGGCCATCGCTTACCCCCACCAGGTGCCGCCTGCCATCCTGGAGCTGGGGCGGGACGCGGGGCACTTCGACCGCCACGCCTTCCACGAGGCCTGCTTCTACAACGCCGACTACATGGCGGCGCGGACCCGCCTGGCAGGCGACGCGCAGGAGAACGAGGACATCCTGGAGACCCTGGACATCTATGACATGTTCGTCAAGTACTCCGGCCTGCACGTCTTCCGGGCCGTGGAGCCTGCCCTGCTGCAGCGCTACCAGCAGCAGGCCTGCAACCCCCGCCTCAGCGAGGATGTCTACCACCGCTGCATGCAGAGCAGCCTGGAGGGGCTGGGCTCCCGCTCCCAGCTGGCCATGGTGCTCTTTGAGCAGGAGCAGGGCAACAGCACCTGAGCTGCTGGCCGGGGGCACCCAGCCCAGCCCTCCTGCCTGCCCTGTCAGCCCGGCTGGCTGGGCCCAGCCTCCTCCGAGGGCACCAGCTCCCTGCGGACAGTGGGAGCTGGGATGGGTGAGGACAGGGACTCAGACCCTTGGCTCCGCAGCATCAGGGGCGTGGGACTGGAGGTCGGGATGTTGACGAGAGCCAGGGGTCTCCCAAGCCAGGTGAGGGGAGCGGCTGGCAGACGGGCTGGCCTGGGAGTCTGGACCCTGAGGTCTGGCTCCAGCCCTGGCACTGGGCTGGCTGGGCCCTGCTCTCCCTGCCCTGCACCCTCCAGTCCCTGGAGCCGCCCTCGGGTCCAGATGCTTTTTCCAGGCTTCCAGGCAACGTGTGCAGGATGCCAGGGCCTCTGCCCCTCCCCAGGCAGCAGGAGTGTGTGGCTCCCGTGTCCGGGATGCCTGGCCCCAGGTGTGAGGGGGGCAGCTAGGCCTCGTTGTCCCCTTGGCCTCCGGCCTCCTGCCCTTTGAGCCGCACCGGCTCCTGCACCCAGGGCCGGGCATCCCCTTGGGCCTCATAGCCCCAGCCAGGGGCTGGTGGCTCAGCTCCCTTTGCACCCTGGGAGCTTGCAGGCTCCACCCAGGGCCCTGGTTGCTGGGGAAAGGTGGAGGTATGGGGCTTACTTGACCCTTGTGGAGCAGTGAGGAGTGTGTTTCCAGTGATGTGCAGCTTTTAGCAGCAGCTCCACGGCCCGGGCGCCCCAGGGTGATGGTGCTGCAGGCTCTGAGGGGAGCTGGGACCCTCCGCACCCACGTGTGACGTGCTGCTCCCCATGGGAACCATGACCCAGGCCGCTTTGGCCTTCGCAGTATTTCCGTAGGACGGGAGGAGGCCACCGCCTCAGACGAGAGCCCCGCGGGTGGCTCGAGGCTTCTCTGCCGCTGCCCCGCATGGCCTGTTGGCCTCGGTCCTGCCGGCAGCCAGGCCAGCTGCTGCCATCGTTCTCCGTGCTGCCGGCGTCTGCCTGTGGACGCCCCGCGCTGGCCGCAGGCAGGGCCAGGGCGCCCGTGTTGGCAGTGGGCACTGCACTGCACCAGGCACCACTGACTTGGACTGGGCTGGCAGTGGGCAGAGCCGGGGTCGCCCCAGCTCGCGCGGCTGGGGCCAGACCGGAGCGGCTGTGAGTCTCCTAAGGAGAAAGTGACTGTGGAGCTGGCCGTGCTCCAGGCTTGTATTTAACAGTGGGGGTGGGCGGGGGGAGCGGGCGGTCGTGTTTACACTTGAATAAACCAGAGAGATGACCCAGCGTCTGGCCGTGGAGTCTGGGCTGGGCAGGGATGGGGTGCCGCGGCCGCAGGGCAGTGGTGGGGTCGGGGGGGTGGACCAGGCGAGGTGCCGGGGCTGAGGCCGTCCTCAGGCCTGAGAGCTGGGCCAGGGCCAGGGAGGCGCCTGGGTGGGTGGCTGCTCCTGCCCTGCTGCGTGTCTGCTGTCTCCAGGCTGCTTGGGAGTCCCTGGAGATCTGCGTGGCGCTGGTCACTGAGGTCCCGTGGTCCTTGTAGCACGACCCGGCCCGGCTCCCCCGGGTTGTGCTGGGTTCGCAGAGGCTCCCTGAGATGGGGGGGCGGGGTCCGTCTTCGGCAGGGGTCAGTGCAGCCCGGCTCCGCTCTTGGCTTTGCTCTGGTGCCGTAGGTGCAGTGCCCGGGGCATGGGCAGTGTTGTCTTCAGGTCTGGGTCTCGCAGGTCTCTTCTGAGCCTTGCTCCTGCTCACTCCGCCTCTCCCTGGCCCAAGCCTTTGCTGGTGGCTTGTTTGTCCCTGTCCCAGGCCGAAAGCGCACCCTGCGCTGCTCCCAGGTGCGCGGCTGCGCCAGTGTTGTGGTAGATGCTCATTCCAGTGCTTCCCCCTCACCGTGTGCCCCGTCTGCGTGGCTGGCTGCCCCATCCGTGCTTGCTGGCTCACTGGGCTGGTGGCAGCGCTGCAGGTTGCCCTGTCCAGGCCAGTGGGGACTTGCCGTTGCCCTGGGCCACTGAGCCCCATGCCTCCCGAGGGCCCCTCCAGCCCCCTTCACCTGCTTGATCTGCTGCTTTGCTTCTTCCCTTGGGCTTCTTTCCCCATATGCTGCTCTGCTTTCTGCTCCCGGAGTGCCTCCCCAAACTCCTTGCCCTGCCCGATCTGCTTTTTGCTCTCTGCCTGGTCTCTTGCTCTGCTTTCTGCTCACTACTCTGTGCCTGTTCTGCTGCTCTGCTTTTTGCTCCCTACCCAATCTACTACTCTGCTTTCTGCTCCCTGCCCTATCTGCTACTGTGTTCCTCTCTTTCCCTGATGCCCATGCCGTGAACAAAGACTTCCCATGTCACCGATGGCATGCATGCCACAGGTTGGCTTCCTGGGTCTGATGGATTTAATAGCATTGGTTCAAGAACAGGCCTCTGCAGGGTCCCGTTCACAGTGACTTCCCCATCTCACTTCACCAGTTTTGCTGTTCGATGTGGGCTGGGCTGCCTGTGCGGAGCTGCCAGCATCCTGCCTGGTCTTGCAGGACTTGGCTGGATGCCTCTGAGGCCTGGCCAAACAGCTGCTCACACCCATGCACTCGAAAGCCTCAGAAACCAAGTGTGACCAGACCTGTTTTCCATAGGACTGTGTCAGTAGGTGTGAATCCGGCTGCCATGTCCTGCGCCCACCTCTCTGCGACTCATGTCATGCACATGGTCGTTCTCCCTGGGCTGCTGCATTTGCCCTTTTAATACATCAGCAAGACAACAGCCAGGGACTTTCCAGCTGCTCCAAGACTGGTTAAAAGTGTGGATTAACGTCTCCTTGGAAACGCCTTGGTTGCCTGTTTCCCAGCTGCAAATGTCTCAACATTTCCTAGCTGCGTCCTCTTGGTCACTAATGGCTCAGGGGCCTTTCAAGCCCATTGAAGATAGGAAAGCATCACCCCACTCCCCTCGTCTCGCCCCTGCATGTGAGCAGGGCAAAGTCCTCCTCTGCTGGGCTAGGGTTAGTGACACCGATGTCCCTCTCCAACGCTGCACGTGCGCAGCTGCTACAAAGCCGTCCTCTGCTGACTGCCGTCCTGCCGGAGGGGCCCTTGTGTCCTCGCTGCGAGGAGCAAGTGCAGGGCGTCCTCGTGCTGAGGGAGGGCAGCCCGGTCCCTGCTTCGCTGTCAGCGATGTCCGCGAGCTCGTGGTGCATCGTTCACCTTTGTGGCCAGTGGCATCCGTGTCGTCTGCTGCTGCCGTGCTGGCACTTGACCGTGTTGAGGGGAGCCGCCAAGCCCTGACTCCAGTGCTGCGCTGTGTCCAGGGCAGCAGTGTGTCTGCACCTGACCACCACTGGCACGAATGGCACTGGGTGGATGCGAGTACGAGCCCAGCTCCGGCCCTGGCCCTGGGGTTGGAGCCGGAGCTGAGCCCCAACAGGCAGCCGGGGAGCCGGGGTGGGGAAGCCGGCAGCCTGCTTCCCCCCCGCCCCCTTCTGCTCTGGCTCCAGGCAGGCCTGGCGGGGGCAAGGAGCCAGGGGAGCAAGCGGTGTAGGTTTGGCCCCCACCCCCACCACTGCTTTCCCTGCCGTAGCAGCTGGGAGAATGAGTTTCAGACGACCTTCCACCGGTTAGATAATCTCCCTGGAAAGTTAGCGCACCTTTACAAATTTCCATGTAGGGGGTCTATTTAATTGCTGGGGGGTCGTCTGAAATCAGAAGTCACGTTGCACCCGGGTGGCTCGGCTCGGCTCGGCTCGGCTCTGGTGTCCGCAGCGGCCTGCGGCCGGGAGAGCCACGAGGCCGTCATGGTTCTGGCCGCAGGGAGAAGAGCTTCGTCTCGGTGGCTTCAGGCAGTTGCCCCCCAGCTGCCTGCGGCACCCCCCAGATCTGGGATGGGGGAGACGAAGTCAGAGACCCTGGTCACTGTGGCGGGGGCAGAGATCCCACCTCAGGAACACAGCTGGGTATTCGTATCCCTCCGCCGTTTCCACCACGTGAGGCGGGCCAGTAGGGGGCGCTCCTGCATTGAGCCACCCACCTCCCTGCGCCTGACCACCTTCCAGGCTCCGAATGCCTCCCTAGGGGCGCCTTATGTCCGGCCGACCCCTCTCCCGGAGCACACTCGCTAGTCTGGGGGTAACGTGCCGCCACCACCCCAAGAATGGACTGTCTCGCGGCCCTGTGTCCTTGGGGTAACACAGGCCTAAAGTCCCACGGGTACTCAACCCAGTACAGGCACTTGGGGTACTTCCCCAAGTCCGGGGGCAAAAAGGTATAGTCTCCCTTAGTCCACAGACCTAAGGGGTCTCTTAGGCATAATTTAGACCCACCCCTCAATAAGTCTCCCACACCAGTCAAAAAGGAGAACTTTATTGATTACAGGGGGTAGGGTAAACTAGGGTACAGGATAGAGCAATATCTAGAAATCCTAAAGAGCAAACAGTCTGGCTGTGGTAGCCTTTTGATTACGCATCTGTGATACTTCCAGCTAAATATCTAATCAGATTGAGTAGCTTACTCACAAGCATCTTCCAAAGGCAGGTGAAGTTTCCCTTTGGAGGCAGGCGGTTCCTAGCTCGTGAGTTTGGGGGGAGAGAGCCAGTTTCAGATGTTAAGGCTTCTCTGTGTCCCCTGCCTGGCTGCTGCGTCACCTCATGGCCGGAGAGGAGAGACCGCCTCCTTCCCCGTCCTAACTTATATAGCCCCTGTGACCTCATTCACCTGGGCCAGCAGAGGTCAGCCCCAGTTGGCTGTCAGCCAACCAATCTGAAATGCATCACCTGTTACCGGGCAGATTCCAGCTCCCCAGGTAGAAACCCCTTACCCAGGTAAGTGATGCAAGTCACGTAAGCAGAGGGAGCAGGTTTCCCCCTCCCTCAGGAATGCAGCCAGCTCCAGTTCCCTAAAGAGACAGGCTGAGGGTGTGGTCCCCTGTGTGCTGGGCCCACCCTAATTGAATGGTCACAGCACAGAGATTTAAATCACAGTGTCACAGGGCAGAGGTTTTTGGGGAGAAACCAAGGTGGCTTTCTGCCACAGTCACAACCCCCTGCTGGGTGCCCCCATGAGCCGAGCCGCCCTCGCGCAGGAGCCGCTGTCCGGCTGGGCCCTCTCCAGCATCGTCCGCCCTTGCGCAGGGGAAGGGCTGGCTGCTGGCAGCCCCTTTCGCACCCCTCCTCCAGGCTGCGGGTGCTGGATCCTGCTGCTGGAGGAGGGAGCATGAGCATGAGCATCGCCGGGGCGCAACCACTGGCCGGAGCCCAGGGCAGTGCACCAGGCCGGCGGCGAGGTCCGGAGCCAGGGGAGGGTTTGGGGCTTCCCTCTTCCCCCTCCATTGTGTTGCAGGATGTCTGGACAGGCACTGAGGCCCAGCCCCTGCCTGCTGCACCCCTCCAACCCAAAGCAGGGAGGCCCGAGCTTTGCCGCCCATGCTGGGATCGCAGGACGGCTGCGCCGGATTCCCGTCCCCCCTTGCTGCAGTGTTGCACCAGGGCGCAGGATGGCACTGCAGCCGGGCCAGCCCAGGGTTTCTCTCCCCCCACAAGCGGGGAGTCGGACCCCGTGCAAGGCCAGGCGAAACTCGGCTGCGGGGGACTGCGGCCCAGCTGCAGGTCAGCAGCTAAGAGCCTGCTGGGCCGGAGCTGGGGCAGCCGGACCTGCTGAGCCGAAATGGGGGTGAAGAGCGCGAGAGCAGGCTGGGTGCGGCCTGGCCTGGCCTGCCCACGGCCCTGAAGGAAGCCCCAGGGTTTGGGTCTCCTTTGCTCCTGCACGTTTGCTGTTTGGCTGCAGGGACGAGGCTGCCCCAGATGCAATAACCGGACCAGGGACCCGAGCTCAGAGCAGAGCCAGCTGACCTGGGGCCGACAACAGCTGGGTCCCCTGATCTTCCAGTGCCGTGGCGGGCAGTCCCCGGCGCCTGGGCGAGGGCAGGCAGGACCCACAGCCCCAGAGGCCTGTCGCACCATGGACAAGAGTTGAGCCTGTGGTCTCCAGCGTGGTGGGTGGGCTGGGATGGACACGGGGCGCCAAGGGCCGGAGGCCTGGCCGGGGAGTCAGTGCGGTGCTGCAGTGCGTGTGGGACACGTCCGTGTTGGGAAGTGGCCTGGGGTTGCGCTGAGCCCTGGCAGCACGTGGCCTGCGACCGTGCGTCCCGGCCCTGCTTCCATCCCTGCCTTAGCTTCTCGGGGGTGGGGGAAGCAGCTGGTCCCTGCTGCAGGAGTCCCCTCCCCAACTGCCCCTTGCCATCCTAATTGCCAACTTGTTGTCTGGCGCAAATCGTTAATGTCCTGGCTGCTTGCGTGGGCGTCCTTGCAGCT